CTATTAAAAGAACATTCCTTCTTTTCGATAATGAAAACAATTTGCTTAAATTTAAAGATAAAAAGGCACTTCTAAGAGAAGCCTACAAATGCAAATCAAAATCCAGAAAGAAATAGCAAAAACTAAAGACTGGATAACACTGGAAATGAGCTTTGATTCTGGTTATTCACACTCACCATTGTTTCCACCGGAAGACTGCCTGCTCTGCCTATTAAAAACCCTAGGTTGTTTACCATTCCAGGTCACAGTGCTCAGTCATAGCCTCACTGTTAAACACGATGGTGTTGGATTTCCAATATTGAAGCTTTATATTAAAAAGCATTTTAAAAGGACCATGGGTGAGCCATTATGGGGCCCAAGGGTATTCCAATACTCTCAAAAGGAAAACCACCTCCCGGTAGGGAAGTCACTTTCATCACCCCAAGACCACTGAACCTCCAGTGGGAAAATGTGAGCTCATGTGGTTAATTATGGCAATTGCTGGCCATGAAACCTTAGATGTCACATTCTGTTGCCAATCAATTTAGCTGAAAAACCAAAAGGTTTAAGGTTTCTAGCATTCCAAGATCTAAAAGACTTTCTACCTGCCAAAGCCAAAACCTGGCTCTCTGGGGTGTGCTTTTCCAGTAAGCATTAATGACATCCCTAACACCAATGCAGAGCAGAGGTTTGTGTTCTTTTTGCGGCTCTGAGAGTTAGACAGGTCACGGATGAGAGGTTTGTTGGTGAGGAGTTGGAGGGAAAGTGGAAGGATTCAGGGAAGAACATGAATAAACTAAAACATTCAGGTACATGAAAAAGATTCTTATAGAACATATTTTCAGGGGTATAGAAACAAAACAAAAATCTGCAGTTTCCTCACAGTAAATAGTTCTGATTTTTTTTTAATGTAGGTAGTTACTCAGGGCTGCAGCTTTCATGTAATTTTATGATAATAAATTACACAAATCCACAATGGCCATGACAACATTACAAATTCAAAAGTCCCTTTGGTTTATATGTTGCACAAACTGTTAATATTCAAGTGCATCCAGTACAATAAGTGATCTAAAAGCTCTTACCATCCTGCCTTCCCAATCACTGAGGCAGCTGATTTGTTAAGGAACCAAGTACCCCATGATCCAGACAGGACAAAACATTTAAGACTCTAATCACAGCCACAGCCTCTATGGAATCATTCCATGTTCTCAATGAGACACTGTTTGACATATGGACTCTCCTTTCCAAGAAATCATGCCTGCATAAAGGGATACAGACACAGAAGGAAATCTGGGTCTCATTACCACAAAAAGCTCTCATGTTATGGATTACTTAAAAATACACACAAACATTTTTTTTAAAAAAAACAAGAAATGTCTTGGTCAATAGAAAACGAATACCCTTCCTGGGACAACTTTCTCACATTGTCTCTTTGGTATACTCAAACAGTAACTTACCTATTTAGAAAGCACAGTAAATGTTGGGCCCTATGGTGGAGTTTTGCAAACAGTATAAACCCATGCAATGTGAAGACTATCCTAGCAAAGTCCTCATGAATATATCATAGAATAGCCAATTTGGAGTTCCTTCATTAGAGTCTCATTAAAGATGCAGCTCTTACTGAACACTGAAAAGTTACCATTCAAAACAAGGAAGAAAACTGTATCACAACAGGAATAATATGGACCTAAAAATAAGGCCAACTGGGGATGATTTTAGCACTGCCCCTGGTAGGATGAGTCTTTGGAAAACTTAACTAATCTCTCCGAGCCTCAATTTTCTTGTCTTTAAAAAAACTGAGTATAATTATTTCCCTCATAGAAGGAATTAATTCTCATAATTCTGAGTTAAATAAACAACATGGCATCGTGCATGATGTTCCAAGTTATGTTTCCACACACACCCAGCCTAAATGTCCTCTACCCTTCTTTCAACAGAGGAGTGCTATTACATCTTGTAAGACACCCTAGGCTTCATCTTCTCTATATAGGTTTCCCTGATCCCTCCCTGATAGAAGCAATTATTTCCACTTCTTTGAATCCATATAGCTAGCATAAACTTCTAAGTGACACAGAGTATGAACTCAATAAATATTTCTTGATTGGCTGGATTATAAGTTTGATGGCCTCAGTTGGATTGAAATCTCATCAAGGTAGGAATAATATCTTAATCATCTTTGTATCCTCTCAGCACCTGGCACAGTAGATGAATATACACAGGGCACTAAGTAAATTTAGTATATGGAAGTGCCTTGCAGAATGCTAGCAAGATTTTAAAGACCAATACTACTGCATGTGCTTCCTAAAATGTCTGATTCCTAGGCATCACGGGGAGTGGACAGGGTCTTAGAGAAAAATCAAACTTTCATTTCATTTTATCTCCCATTTCATTTTTCAGCCACCTCCCTAAAAAGCTAAATTAAAGCTTAACGGGTAGAAAGAATGTATTCAGCTTGTTGGACATAAAATAAAAGCTATGAAAAACTAGGAAACAAAGCACAAAATAGAATCAAGAAACATTGATTAAGAGTAGATTAAGGTGACCGTCCACCAATAATGAAAGCACTGCCTCCATCCAAATCATTCTGTATTTAGCAGCCAGCGTGACTTTTAAAAGCATAAATCAGCTCTTATCATCCCCTTCTTGAAGCCCTTCAAGAGTTTCCCACTCCATTGACAATCAAATACAATAGCCTCACAGTGGCCTCAAGGCCCTGGCTGGCCTCTCCCACCTCCTCGAATGTAACTCTTCCCCTTGCCCACTATGCCGTAGTCACACAGGTCTGGTCTGGCCTTCCTTCCTTCCCCCCTTTCCTTCCTCTTTCTTGCAACTAATTCCCGTTGCATTTATATGAGCATTTTCTACATGAAAAGCCCTTTCAAATGTTATCTCAATAATCACAATTAACTGGAGATGTAGGTAGTACCTTGTTTCACAGGTGAAGGTATTAAGTTCTGAGAGATTACATATGATTTGTCCAAAATACAGGTTTTTTTCCCAATATCCCCCCCCACATGCTGTTTTTTCAGATATACCAAACTCATTCCTCCAGCATGACCTTTGTACTTCCTGTCTCCTTTTCTAGGAATGCTTCTTTCCCAAATGTAGCATAATTTGTTACTTTCAGCTTTCAAATTTTCTATTATGTTTCTCCTCTGAGAAATCTTCTCTGACTGCTTTCTCAAGTGAGTTCCCCTATTGTCTAGGAGAGCATTCATATTCCTTTATTAAATTATGTTAAATATTTTCATATTTATTGGCTGTCTCCCATAGTAGGTTGTACACTCCATGAAAGGAGAGAACACATTGGCTTTTTCCACCATTACATTGTTAAAACCCTGCAAAGTGCCTGGCATATAGGTGTGCTCAATTTGTATTTTTTTCAGTATCCCTGGAACCTAGCACAGCATTCAAGGTACTCAATAGGTTTGTTGAAGGAATGGAGAAAAAGATGTGTTGTGGGCTTTAAAACACCTTCACTTAGCCTAAAATTAACACCAAAGAGCATTTAAATGACTTACAGAGATCAGAATGAACATTTTACAACCTAAAAAAGACAAATCCCAGCTGAATCATTATCTAGCTTTGTGGTCTTCAGCAAGTCACTAAATAGCTCACTCACACATTGGTAAATGAGATCATTCTGCCCTCCTTTCATGTTTCCTTTGTCTTCGTAAGGATTGAAAATAAGACAAAATGTCATGCTTTTACAGCTATAACCTTCACAACAATCATGTACAACACAGAGGACATGAATTAATATGTTTATACTATCGATTAGGAAATCAACTCAAAGCTTAGATGGCTTGCTTAAATTACAAAGGGGAACCAGGACTTGAATACAGGTTTTCCCATTCCTATTTCATCACTCTTCTTATATCATGTCCCAACTACTTTTTGTAAGAATGTTGTAAAGGTCAAAAGAGGTAATAAATTAAAATAGTCTTAAATGTTAAAAGGACCACAAATGACATTTCCTTTATGGGGAAATGGAAGAAAGTTCCAGTCAATACTAATGCTGTCTTCTTGAGTAACTTCTTCCCAAATGGATAGGTATGCTTGCTTTGGGAATACTCTATAAAGCTCAAAGCATTGTGTAGGCTAGGGGTAAAGAACCCATTTTGTTAACAATTAAAAAAAAATCTCTTTACCAATATGCCAAATAAAATATCCTTTTCTTTGGCACACCGGTAAAGAAATTAGGAAAATTAAAATATTTTAAAATACAGTAATTACTATGAATCATACTCTATAATATCTTTAATGTAATATAAATTTTTTTAATTAAAGAGGACAAAAATGACAGTATAGCAGATTTAATCTGTGGTAGTGGGAATATTGCAATATTAAATTTTCAAATACTTTTCATGTCAGCAGAATATGATTTTCTATATTACAAAGGAACAGATTAATGTTTATCATTCTGTTCCCAACTATACACAAATTTTTCATGAAAACTAAAGTAGAAGGATAGGGAGATTATTAGTATTCTTAAGAATCCCCTACTTAATTTTTTAAAAGCCCATTTAAAAACTATTTTCTTTTAAATTTCAAATATAAGATTCAATAGTTTTTTTTTCTATGATTAGATCAAATACTCTCTTGAGTCTCCCATCAGCGAATCTGACTCTATATACTTAAAACCAAGAAGGGAGAAAAGGTCCAAAAGCCATTCTGGATGAACTACTACACAACCAATATTTCAAGATACCTCTATTTTACCCTGTAACAAACCCATATATATGTACACCAAATCTTCATAAGTAAAAGAAATAAAATACCTTGGAAGTCCTCGGAATTGGGCAACTTGACACCACATACAAAGTAATCCTTATGTTCATTCTGTGAATATTACCAAAGAACAAAATTAATTATTTTTATGCATAAAGCAAAGAAGCTCTGAGTCAAATCCCAAAAGAATTCAAGGAGGTCAGTGTTAAGACAACACTGTCCTACATTCAAATATTATCATATTGTAGAAGCTAAATGGTGAGTACGTGATTCTATCTCTACACTTATACATATTTGAAAATTTCTATAATAAAAACATTTAAAATCATATCTGAGCAAAAAGCCATATGGAATTTTTATCAAAAATATCCTGTGACCAATCCATGGCTATAAAGGAAAATTTTTAAGGAATTAACAAGATCTCACCAGCAATCTAAAATCCCAGTTGTTTTCCTCTCAGAAAATTAGTTTTTTAAATCTCTTTTCATTAAATAGAAAAAAAACACCATCAAATTTAGCAGATTTGGTTCTCTAAAAAAGAATCCTAATCAGTTTTGTTCAAGTTTTAGTTTTTGAATTTACACTAAGAAACTAAGCTTCAAAAGCTTAACATCCTGACAGTTATCCCAGGAATATCTTAAGTAATACTAATAAATATAAACTATTTGGCTGTTATATTTTTAAGGCTGTCCAAATGTATATGTCAGAAATGGTGGTACTTAATAATCTGGTTGAATGAAAAGATCCTACAGAAACCAGCAATAACTTGGCATTCTTTTAGATGAAGATAAGTGCATCTCACCACCAAATTGATATAAAAAAACAAATGGTGTAACCTAATGCTCAAAATCTAAATCCACTTTTTAAAATATGTATTAGCTCCTGAATGAATCATGACAGACCATATGATTAAGACAAAGGCAATACATTTTTCATTGACAGGAAATCTCAGACAGAAATAATCTTAAAATTTTTTTCCAGAAAATTTGAAACTTACCAAATCAATAGGGTAAATGTAGGAAAGCTCAGACAGTAATTGCCTGCAACGAATTGTCACCTGAGCATTAGTCTTCAGAAAGAGTTCTCTGAGGAAAGAAAAAAAGCACATTTGTTAAAAAAAAAAAAAATGCATGTTTTCTAACATTTATTCCCATATAACTGATACAGATGAAGATTAAATGGTCTGTAGGAGGCCATAGAAACTCAGATCTAGAAGCAATAGCTAACATGAGTTTTGATCTGTAACTAAATACTACCTAGTAAGCCAACGATACACTAAGGCCTACTATGTGTGTCCAGCACCATGCTAAGAGATACAAAGAGTATATAGATAATCACTGCCTGAGCATCCTACAACGGCAATGTCAGGGGCTTTACAAATGTTATTATTTAATTATTAAAACAACTCTATTGAGTTGTTCTTATTATACACATATTACAAGAAAACAAGATTTAGAGAGGAGGCTCAGTAAACTGACCAGGGTCTCATTTAATCTCAGGCCAATTTGATTTCAGGAAATATCCACACAGTGTTTCTTAAAAAAAAGTATTCTGTTTTTCACTCACAACTATGTTACCTCAAAAAATAACCTGCTGCCATATTAGAAAGATAACAGAATAAAAAGAACAAACAAGCAAAAAAGTGTGACATAAAATGGTGCAGCCCTTCTCTTGAACTACTTAAGAAATATGACCAATGGATTAACATACCTAAAGAACAAATTACCTGCTCACCTGTGCTAACAATTTAATAAAAATAGGAATTTAGGAGAAACTCAAGGTCAAAGTGGAATGTAAGAGTAAGCAGCAAAATGCAAAGAGCATTGAAGACCTAAAGAGATCTAGTCTTGCCAGTGAATTGGACAAATAGTAACTTCCCTGAGTCTTGTTTTCCTATTTGCAAACTGAAAGGATTTAGACTAAGTAATATTAAAGGTTCTTTCCAGGTCTGCCATTCTTGAATCCTCAATTGCTAAGGTGTCTTGAAGAAAAATACAGCATAAAATAACATCTCAGAAAAAGTGAGTGAAGATGAGCAAAAGAACAGAGGTGGCAACAAATTAAGCATGTGTGAAAAAACAGAGAGAAAGACTATCAGCATTTGTTAAAGGAGTGTTGTGGAGAGACTGAAATTAGCTACAGTTGTATAGCACACATTTATTAAAGGTTATTGTATCAAAGTTAGGCAAAAACAATCACCATGGGTTCTTAAGAAGAGAAACAAATATGGTAAAAATAGTATTTTAAGAGGAGAAGTCTGATAGCAACATGGAGGATGGACTGGTAGGATGGAGAGACTGATGCTCCAGAGATAATCTAGGAGCTGTTTAAGTAATCCAAACAAGCTAACACTAAAGAGTAGGTCTGAAGAAATTACTGAAGAAAAAACAGTATGCTACACTACATGTAGAAGACAGAAGAGAAGATTCAAACATTAAATCATAGTGCTGTGGCCTTGAAATCTAGAAAAACAGACTTCACATTTCTGATGATGACTGTATATTCTAGGAGCTCTTGCAACTGCCTCTCGCAGAGTACTTAATAAATATTATTTGAATATATGAATGTGGCTCTGAAGTGTGTGGAGTATAAATTAATATTAAGAGCTTTCAGAGAACACTACTTTTCAAAATTTCATCCTCAAAGTAAACTCAATACTCATAGCAATTGTTCTCAGGGGGTCACATTTACCTTTTCGCAGTACATTCCTTCTTCCATTCATTTAGGGATTCCTTCTGGAGTTGAAGCTTGAGGTGCTCAGTTGAAAATGCACTTCCTAGAGAAAGATGGAAGGAGATAATTCTAGATGTAACACTGCAAATACGACTGTTAAATCACAAACAACAGGCAGAGCCCAGCTCCCTGATGTGAGAGGGGAATAAAAAGAGTTAAGAGGCAGAGTGGATTGCGTACAGAGATCTTCTGGAGATAGTAACTAGAATAAACTTCCTATTGGTTCAATTTTTACACAAGTCCAGCCTCTGGCAGGAGTCGAAGAATAAGAGTCTTAAGATTCTCTGCCTACAGGTCTCTGGAATGCTGACCAAGAAACCCTGATGAGATTTCAAAATTCAGACAACTTCATTTAAAAAAAGGTGTCTGTGAACACTGGGTGTTGGTGATTCACTAAAAGTTCATCAGTTATAATAAACGTACCTCTCCGGTGGGGATCCTGATCATGGCTGAGGATGTGCACATGTGAGAGTGGGGGTTATATGGGAAATCTCTGTCCCTTCTGCTCAGTTATACTATCAACCCAAACTGCTCTAAAAAATAACATTTTTTTAAAGTAAGTGGTTAATTTCTTTTCAACCACAAATGATACATAACAATATTACTTAAAGTATAAAAAGGAAAGCAGGGAAAATTACCTGCTTTTTGCTTCTACGATATAGTTCATAAATACAAGTAGTTTCTTATGAACTTTCATCTTGTTCATATATATAAGTAATTTTAGTTACAATCACAGTGTATAGGAAACAAAGATTCTGATTTTTCCATATTATGTCACAAGCATTTTTACATCTTGACAGAAAATCTGAGTTATAGTGTTTAATGACTGTTAAAATTCAACTCCATGGATGTGAATTACATGAACACTCCACATTTCAACTGATACCCCATATTCCAATCCATTACAGGACATTTTATTTCCGTTTAGTGCTTGCTTTAGCACTACAATGACTAATATTTGTATTAATACGGCTGATTTTTGTATTTATATCAACTTTTGGAAACCCATTTCCACTTAGCGATCATAAAATTATTTTACATCTTCCTACTCTAAGAAAATGAGAACATCTTCTGTTCTTGTAGTGCTTTCAGAGGTCCTGAAGCACACAGGAACAATTGTAGATCCTGATACACTAAGTTCTAGATCTTATAAAAGGGTTTAGTTTCACAAACTGTCATCCAGTAGGAGAAGGTGCCCTGAACTCTTCTGCACATCTCCTACAGGGAGGAACAAGAGGTAGACTAATATGCCAAAATACAAATAATTTTATCAACAGATTTCTAATAGGCACTCCATTCTTCTCTCTCAACCATTTTTAATGGCCACTAAGTTGGTAACTCTGCCCCCCAAAATGCTACTTAATCAAGCAGTACCACTTATGTTCTTTAGCCCCAATGTAATTTATCCCTAAATCTTCATGTTCAGTAATTTCAGGATATTCACATTGACAACTTCCACCCCCACCCCATGTACTTCTACCAGAAAGCACATCAATTCTTCTAACCACTACAGAAATTTACAGTATTGTTCTTTGTCCCAAATAAATTAGGTTGCCTTGACACTGCTGGTGAAATTACAAATAGGGAAAGGACAGTTCTAGGCTTCAAAATGCAAATGCATCTACCCTCCTCAGTTTTGAAGACTCTTTAGAACATATTACATAACCAAAAGAAAAAAAAATCCTTGCAAAGAGAGGAAAATTAAATCTGTATATTAGCCAGCTAACAAACAGGGTGAAATGTGAACAATAGATAAATCTGGGTGACGAATATAGTACTCTTCTTATTCTTGCAACTTTTCTGTAAGTCTGAACTAATTTCGAAAGGATTCATCCCTGACTCTCTGCTCAGTGTAAGTGGGCAGATCTTGTTGACAATTAGGCTTTCCTTCAGAATACACATGCTGTGTGTGCTAAGAGGGGGAGGCAGTTATGTTTTATGTTTAAGCCACCACAGTCAAATAAGGAGACCCTTATTTTGTGATCGTGTTACGTTAGGGTATTTCATCCTAAGGAGGCTGCCTTTCATGTTTCTCGCTGGGTCAGTTGTAGAAGTCCACAGTCAGGCTCTGTGGTAACTTTCTACTCCAAGCTTTTACCATGGGACCCAACCAGGTCAAGAATCCATTATGTTTAGAAAGAGTTTGGAGCACATGTTCTAGGAAGCTCTTCCAAATTCATAGAGGAAAGAAAATAGGTGAGTAGGCCCAGCTACCCTTATTATTGCTCGACCATTCCTGATTTCTATACTTGAAATCCTAAGTTGAGGCCTCTGAGAGCCCTACCAGAAATCCACAATGCAGCCCTTTACATGTGTGTCCCAGACTGCAGTTTTTCTTGACTCTAGTTTATTCATCAATACAACCCTATCTACTTTGTGTCTTTGAGAACAGTATCAAAATTTTTGCTATTCCAATGGCACCCTCTTTTACTTTCACCATCACCGATTTATTCTTTATATGTGTGCCTTTACTATCATATCAATGGATCAATGAGAGGGAAGGAAAGCAAATGCAAGTGCTTGGTTTACCATATTTCAAATTGTTTTATTCTTCTCAATTTTATATATTTCTCCACTTATCTTTATTATGTCCCTCCTTCTGCTGACTTTGGGCCCCATTTGTTCTTTTTCCAGTCATTAATTGTGAATTCAGATTGTTCACTTGGGATTGTTCTTCCTTCTTTAAATAGGCCTGGATTGCTATATACTTTCCTCTTAGAACTGCCTTCACTGTGTCCCACAGAAGTTTGGGCATTGAGCTGTTGTTTTTCTTTGTCTCCATATATTTGCTTGATCTCTGTTAATTTGGCCATTGATCCAAAGATTATTTAGGAGCATGCTGTTAATCCTCCATGTATTTGTGGGCTTTTTGTTTTCTTTGTACAATTATTTCTAGTTTCATATCTTTGTGATCTGAGAAGTTGGTTGGTACAATTGCAATCTTTTTGAATTGACCGAGGTTCTTTTTGTGGCCTAGTAAGTGATGTATTCTGGAAAACGTTACATGAGCACTTGAGAAGAATGTGTATCATGTTGCTTTTGGGTGGGGTGTTCTCTAGATGTCTGTTAGGTCCATCTGTTCTAATGTGTTGTTTAGTGCCTCTGTCTCTTTACTTATTTTCTGTTTGGTTGATCTGTCCTTTGGAGTGAGTGGTGTGTTGAAGTCTCCTAAAATGAATGCACTGCATTCAATTTACCCATTTAATCCTGTTAGTATTTGTTGCACGTATTTGGGTACTTCTATGTTGGGTGCATAGATATTTATAATGGTTATATCCTCGTTGGACTGACCCTTTATCATCATATAATGTCCTTCTATGTCTCTTGTTACTGTCTTTGTTTTGAAGTCTATTTTAACTGATACAAATATTGCATCTCCTGCTTTTTTCTCCCTATTAGTTGCATGAAATATCTTTTTCCATCCCTTCACATTTAGTCTGTGTATGTCTTTAAGTTTGAAGTGAGTCTCTTGTAGGCAGCATATAGGTGGGTCTTGCTTTTTATCCATTCTGTAACTCTGGGTCTTTTAATTGGTGCATTCAGTGTACTTATATTTAGGGTGATTATTGATAGATATGTATTTATTGCCATTGCAGGCTTTGGATTCGTGGTTACCAAAGGTTCAAGGGCAGCTTCTTTACTATCTAGCAGTCTAACTTAACTCACTTATTACCCTATTATAAACACAATCTGAAGATTCTTTTTTTATCTCCCTTCTTTTTCTTTCTCCTCCACTCTTTATATGTTATATGTTATATTGTGTACTCTTTGTGTATCCCTTGACTGACTTTGTGTGTAGCTCATTTAATTATGCATTTGGTTATTAATTAATTGGTCTATTTCCTTTACTGTGGTTTTATTTTCTCTGGTGACAGCTATTTGCCATAGGAGTACTTCAATCTAGAGCAGTCCCTTTAGATACAGTGTAGAGATGGTTTGTGGGAGGTAAATTCCCTCAACTTTTGCTTATCTGGAATTTTTTAATCCCTCCTTCAAATTTAGATGATAATCTTGCTGGGTAGACTATTCTTGGTTTGAGGTCCTTCTGTTTCATTGCATTGAATATATTGTGTCACTCCCTTCTGGCCTGTAAGTTTTCTGCTGAGAAGTCTGATGATAGCCTGATGGGTTTTCCTTTGTAGGTGATCTTTTTTCTCTCTCTGGCTTTTAGTACTCTGTCCTTGTCCTTGATCATTGCCATTTTAATTATTATATGTCTTGGTGTTGTCTTCCTTTGGTCCCATGTGTTGAGAGATCTGTGCACCTCCATGGCCTGAGAGACAATTTCCTTCCCCAGATTGGGGAAGTTTTCAGTAATTATTTCTTCAAAGACAGCTTCAATCCCTTTTTCTCTCTTCTTCTTCTGGTTCCCCTATAATGCAAATATTGTTCTGTTTGGGTTGAAACTCAATTCTCTTAATATTCTTTCATTCCTAGAGATCCTTTTTTCTCTCTGTGCCTCAGCTTCTTTGTATTCCTGTTTTCTAATTTCAATTCCATTTACTGTCTCCTCTATCTCATCTAATCTTCTTTTAAATCTCTCCATTGTACGTTTCATTTCAGGTACTCTTTTTTTTTTTTAAGGTGTCTATCTCCCTCCTGAATTCATCCCTCAGCTCTTGACTATTATTCTGTAGCTCCATTAGCATGTTTATGACTTTTATTTTGAATTCTTTTTCAGGAAGATTGGTGATTTCAGTTTCAATGGTGTTTGAGGGATTTTAGATTGAACAAGGTTCTTCTGTCTTTTCATAATCCTACTGGATAATGAGAAACACTAGGTTTGTGTAGGTGGTGCCCTCTACTGCTTAGAAGCTCTGCTCTTTGGAGCTGCCCAGCCCCTGGAGTGATGGTAGAGGTTGCAGGTGAGTGGTGCCAGTGCCTACCCTAAGAGAGCTCTTTCCTGCTTTCTAGCTGAAGTGCCTGCCTCCACTGTCAGGACCAGAGTGAGCCATGCACAGGGAGCAGCCTCTGTGTTAAGCCCCTAAGGTTCCATAGGTGGGGATGCCCTCCGGCTCGCCTGGCACGATGGTGGGGGCAGCA